AAGTGTATACAGCTAAGGTCTGAGTTGCTAAAACGTTTCCCAACAAAGTACAATTTTAAACCATCTTTACCACAAACAGCGAACAAATCAGTGCCTCAGAAACATACTTCTAAGTATTAATATAACGTTTGTGCACCGTTATCTGTATATCCTGGCATGATGACGGTTTGAGTGATGTTCTCCCCCCACCATCATTTTCCCTCTTGTCCTCTCTGCCACTGTCACGACCTCTCCCTCCTTTCTCATCTCATTTCAGCAGCTTATTAGAGACTCCCACCTGTGTGAGTTGTCTTGGCCCATCTGTGTTCCCTCCACCTCAGCCTGGAAAGCTGGCCCACAGCCATGACATGGGCCACCACAAAATTAATTACAAGCAGTAAGCAGGAGCAGATCTGAAACATCACTCTTTATACTGTGCGCCTTATAAAAACGAACGTACAGTCACTGGAGCTACAGAGAAGATTAGCCGGATTGTTTAAAAAGATGCAGACACACAGTAATCTAAGTTCATATTGTGGTGCAAGGGCACTATTTTATTGTGTTAGCAGCCGAGGCTACGCTACCTTTTCAGCAAATCATACACGCTAACATTAATTGGAACTAATGCTCTCAACCTGGTTTCAGTTATATAAAGTGTACCTTGAAAAAGGCGAGAGTCAGCAGCATACTCTCTCTATTTACCATGCCATCAAAAATACATCATTAGCATCAGCATCCATCTCATTAACACAACCTCTCTCTGACCCGACACCCCCAGCTCCCCTCTTATTAGCTGCTCTCCTTTTCCTTTTCACTTCTTCTCTCAGTTCTGCGAATTCTGTGAATTTACTCATAGAGGAAAACCGGGAGGTGATGATGGGTGAGGAGAAGGAGAGCGAGAGAGAGAGAGAGAGTGTGTGTGTTGTTATTTGTTGTCCCAGACAGAGCGCCTGTGTCCTGGGATGAGCAGATGGTGGATCTGGCTGGCGCTTGGGTGGCATCGGCACATCCGCAGGAAGGCACGAAACACCCCAGCGCTCCCCCCTCCACGTCTCTCCTCTCTCCCACCTTCTCTGAATACCTCCTTCTCACTCTCTCCCCTGCTCACTCAGCACAGCCACAGAGCTGCGTTCATCAGCACGACTTGTCCTCGCTTCGCAGCGTGCAGTGACGGCGGCAATATGGGTCCGAGTGTGTGGCCGGGTTCGAGGGATGGCGGATAAGGTGGACGATCAGGAAAAGCAAGTGTTTCGTTTCTGACACGGTGAACTTCCAACCCTATGCAAATAAGGCGTGCTGAGGTAATCAGAACTTACCTAAAGACGTGTTTTTACCCAAGTGACTAGCACCCAGCACAATGGCTTAATTAAGATGAGCTGAGAAATAAATCACAAGCTTTTCAAACTAATCTGTGGACATGCAAGCGTGTGGGATTGTGCAAGTCTTTACTTTGCTCCTCTGTGCTGGTCTTACCAGAGTGACGGGCTTTTTTCCCCCTGATGTTCACCAAATGGAGTTTATAATAACAATATCGGGATAATGAGGTATCTAGACTGTTGAGTAGCATTTTTTGTTGCACCCTAAGGGATTTTCATTCATTTCAATTGCTTTTTTTTCCTGGAAGTACGACAGCTGAGCGCCAGGGAATTCAAACAAACAAAACAACTCCGAGCTTAAAACTTCTAAGACCATTTCTGTTTCTATACTGCCCGCTAAAATCTTTGAAATGAACTGGATTCAAACAGACATATTCGCAAAACACACCTTTCTGTCGGGGCCACTGGTGATGATCTGGTATTCCTTTGGATGGTAGCACACGGTCTGCAACTGTGAGTTGGTGATAATTATTTGAAGGCTCACAAATCGCCTACAGGAGGAGAAGCAGGAGAGTCAGGAGGCCAGGCAAAAGAAGGGAGAGAGGAGAATGAGTTTCACAGGTAGCAGAGCTGGTCTTGAAAAATAATACGTGGTAGAAGTGCTCTTACACCAGAGTACTGACTGGGGCAGTTTGATGTGCTCAGAAGAAATCCTCTGAACACAATTCTTTGAACAAAATAAGCCCATCTGTACACATGTAGAAGAAAAACTAACATGCAAAAGCCCTGAAGTGTCACACCATTTTCTCTGTGTACACAAAACGTATTGTGTCTGTCTGGATAAGATGTCAGTGTGGATTCAATTAGACACTTATCTGTCTTTTAAATCTGCTTGTTAGTAATCATGCTAAAAAGGAAATCCATGCTGCTCTTGACGACTACAGCCTGGAAGCCTTTAATCCACAGACTTGTTCATTGAAGAGGATAGACGGTGGAAAAAAAAATGTGACCACAGTCAGAGTTTTAAAGGTTTTATTCTCCTCACAGAAGAAGCCCACAGATTAAAGGATTTCAAGCTTTTTTTTCATAAAGAATGCACTGGATTTCATTTTATTCCTTCTGTAGCAGCCAGACACAAATGAACAGCTTCAGTATTTCTCTATTACTACAATTCAGACCTGAAGACAGCACTTTGTATTTTGCACTGTCACTTTTTCTCAAGTGGCTTTGTATATCATTAGCAGCAGCGTACACTATTCTCCATTGAATAATGTGATTAAGTGATTCAGTAATGTGCCTTGCCACTTCTTTTTTCACCTCACTTGCTCTCAGCAAAATAAACCAAGCTGTGGGTTAAAACTGAGAAACATTTAATTACAAAGTAAAGCGGCTTAGCGGCGGTTTATGGCATTTAATATCACTATTAAAATGTATGCAAGATCCCCCAAAACTGCATTCTATACACTAATTATACAGGAATAAAGGTAAAGGATGATACATGTGTGAGATGTGTGTTTCTATTCTTGCCCGTTCTGGAGTCTGGCGGGCTCTCCAGATGAAATACTCACACAAGGTCCCAGATGATGCAGGCGCCATCAGAGCTGGCGGTGACACACTCTTTGTCGTTCCTCTTGATTTTGATACAAGTGATTGTGGCTTTGTGCATTGCCATGATCTCCGGCAAAGGACGGCTATGATGCTGCACCTCCCAAACACGCACCTAAAGAATAAACCCAAGCTCATTAACCCCGACGGTTATACGCTGTCATTTTTGCTACAGTGATTTGTAGTGCAGCTGCATCAGTCGATGCTCAATCGAAAAGGTCCTCCACGGTGTGTCTTGTGTTTTTCTGTAAATCTGCAATCACACTGTGACAAAGTGCTCAACCACATGCTAAAATCTTGAATGTGTACGTGCAGCGTGTGTACAGTCTAATTTTGCATTTGTATCACAAATATATAATGTAATAGATTAAATCATGTGAATATCTGCATTAAATACCTGATTTTTAACTCATTAACTCACTGTCTGACAGAAAGTCTCAATTTGAAGACTTCCCTTGGATGTGCACGCTCTCATCCTGCAGTGATCCCGAAATAACTTCTTTAAAAAGTGTAGCAATAGCTGTGACAGGAACTTGCCTGCTACTCACACCGAATTATTAAGAAAGATATCTCTTTTCCTCTGATCAATTTGTCCCTTTGATAATTTTTGTTATGAAATATGGAACGGGCTGGGTAACAGTGTATTATTTAGTTTATTTACCAAAAACCTACAGAGAAGAATGATTCAATAATTCAGCAGGTGGCTTCTTAAATTTAAAAGCAGGGCTTTAAAATATAGTGCACTGTGCAACCAGGCTGCCACAATTCTAAAATGAGGCATGTTCACGGTGCTTGCTGTGAGCATTGCAGAATTTATGAAACCGTTATAGATATATTAATATTACGTTTACTGACCTGTCCCTCTCCCCCTCCGCTGACGATCCTCCTGCAGTCTCTGGTGCCAGCGATTGCAGTCGCACCCATCCTGTGAGCATCGTGGATGATGAGCTTGAGCCGGGCACTTTTTGGTCCAAACACGCGAATGCTACCATCATTCCACGCTAGAAGGCGGAGAAATCAGCTTTTAACAGTGTGTTATCAAGAAGATGCTTTCAGTTCAGTACATTAAAACTTTTAGCAGTAACTTCGGAAAAAGTGAAGCAGATTTCTGCACTACTCTAACTGACGGCTAAACTACAGCTCGTTAAAAAGACTCAGTTATTTTTTTGTAGTAATAAGCTCCAATGTCAGCAGTTTGTAGATGTCTCCTCTGATTCCCACCGCTGATGATGCTACGTCCATCCAACATGAAGTCCACGGAATTGCAGGTTACGTTGGGTACAGTGATGCGCATCAGCTCTACCGGGTTGTCTATGTGCCAGACTCTGATGTCGCCCTCAGCGCAGGTGGCAAATAATTCTGAAGTTGCACTGACAGAAATACAAATGTGGAATTAAGGTACCGTGAATGTGAGTTATCACCGGCAGCTATGAAATAGTGCTTAGTAAGTCAAAGGCATATTAACCGTACATTTAAACAAGCATCAATTTAAACAGTGACATAATGAATTCAACACTTTAACTTGGTCTTAGGCACAAAATATCTAAAATCAACAGCATGTTTCTCACCATATAGTGAACAGATATGCATGTGGCATGGATATGTCACCCTCTAGTGAGCACAATAGGGAACTGAAGTGATGTGTTGTGAGAAATAGTTATGGTTTAAGCCAGGGGTGTCCAATCCTGGTCCTTGAGGGCCACAATCCTGCATGTTTTGGTTCAAATGATCAGCTCATCATCAAGAAGCCTGATAACGATCCTGATCATTTGAATCAGGTGTGTTGGAAGAAGGGAAACATCTAAAACATGCAGGATTGTGGCCCTCGAGGACCAGGATTGGACACCCCTGGTTTAAGCAGACATACAGCTACTCACTCTCAAGGCTTAGGAATAATCATACAATCCTGTGGTTGTGTTTCTAGGATACAACCTTTTTTTTTTTTTGTATTTGCAATACAAGACAAAATTAGTGTTTGTGAAGGACATGCTGCAGAAACAACAAAGGTAGAAAAACTGACTTAACAAAATGCTGGCTGCAGGGCTCTAAATCTACATCTACGGGAAAGACTTTTTGATGTGTCACTGTGTGCTTGCAGACACCATCGTACCCTTATGTCAGGCTTGGAAAAGCACAGGGCAACACTTGTTTATACAACATGTGACAAAAATCGTATGGAGTTGGATAACACATGTCCACACAACTTTAAAGAGTTCTATAAAGATGTAAACAGGCAGCTGGCCCAACATAGTTTGATATTTGTATTTCTTAAAAGCACTGAGGCGCTTATGGCCTCAACTAAACATCAATCTTCAAAATGTAGACATGATTGACATTAAACGTTGCTCATAAATACTTTTATCTTGTTTAGTTTTAGAGCAAAATTATGATACGGCATGATGGTGTATCGGTTCCCTGAATTTTAGTCAGTTTACAACATATATTTCTTGCCAAATTCAAAAGCTGAACAAAGCCATTTGTGATTTTATTCTCTCTGGCGGGCTCTCGATCTGAACCATCAAAAAACTAACAGATGGTAAATGTTCTGTAATCAGTGACTGATGTCTTTGACTCTTTCACCGTGAACTGTCTGTGTGCCACTTACAAAGGGATGGCGACGTCCTTGACAGCGTTATTGTGGCTGCTGGCTATGAGTTCAGCTTTGAAGTTGTCATAGCTGAAGCGGTACATCTGAGCAGACTCTGTGCCAACAAAGAATTGCTGTCCCTCTCCTCTTAAAGCGATGGAGGTCACCCCCTTTTCCAGCTGGACTTCCCTATTGTGGGGGAAGAAAAAGAGAACTACATAACAAACACTAAAAAAAACAGTTTTTACAGTATGTCAGCATCCTAGTTAATAGGCCTCATGTGTAAAATACAGAGAATGAAAGACAGAGAATCCTGCACATCATGGATTTAAGTACTTTTTAAGGGGCTGATACAAATGATGCAGATGTAGAACTCACTTAAGAACTTTGAAGTTGGTCCCGGAACACAGAGTGAAGGTGCCAGACCCGGAGCCGACAAGCAGGTGCCCAGACTTCAACATCTTTAAGGCAGTGACACCCTACACAAAAAAGGGCACAAACAATTATTTCTAGCATGCAAGCCTGTGCACTCATATGTACACATGTGTACATGTGCTGCCTGAATTACATCCAGGAAGCTAATAAAGCTGTAAAAGACTCACAGTAAAAGAACATATCCTGAAAATGTGATGCATTTCTAAAATGACAAGGAATTACCTAATGATAGGTAAAAGTTCAAAAAGAAACTATACGTGCAGATCAAATGAAACACATGACTTGACATGAGCCATACTTCCAGAGGCGGAGTCCATCACTATCAGGCAAAACATGAGTATGGCTGAAAGTACCTTCACAGTGTTCAGTTAGGAATGAAATACCTCCTGCTGTTATGACTTACCAGGCTGTATTTTGTTTTAGCTGGACCACAGTCAATCAGATTCCTGGTCTTAAAGGAAGTTTTCATGATATCTCCACTTGTAGTGCCACAGAAAATGAACTGATCGTCATCTGAAATCTGAAACACAAGCAACACCGTCTTAATTCACCACATCTGGTGTACTGTATGTATTTGGACAATTCAAAATGAAAGAATTACTGTTTAAGTCAAGGACACGTCGAGGAAGATACACTTCCATATGTTGTGTTATATCTCCCTCAAAGGCATCTACTGCAGCTGTATTATTGATTTTTGACAAAGGACAAGTTAAGTGGACCTTAAAATGACAAACTAGTTAAAAAGGTGGGGCATTCAACTGCAGTGAATGCAAATCTGTAACGGCTTCATACCTCCAAACATTTCATTGTCATCTTCTTCAGCCGGCCCATATTACAGTCTGTAGGCTGGATCTTGTTGTTGGGATCTAATTCCCAAACTCGCAATGTTCCACTGAACAGAAAAGGACCAATGATATTCAAATACATTAAGTGAATAACATGTAAATATACATTCTGAAGGTAGAGATGCTGAGAAAAAGCAATACAGATATTTTATAAACAGGTGAAATGAGATTTAATTAATTAATCACACCCCAAGTCAAATGAGGGGTTATTAAATAATATCAAATGATCCTTTGTTTACAGAATGCCAGTAGACAAAATCCACTCACCTCCCAGCAGAAACAAAGATATTGTCATTTGTGTTTGAGTACTGTACAGTGAGGCAGCGACCAGAACTGTGGGTTGTAGCTGGACTCCTACAGATGGCCTGCTTGGTCTCAATATTCCATACAATTATACTGAAAACACAGAAAACACCTGATATGCTCGACAAGTAAAGTTCATGTACAGTTGAGTGAATTTCCACACCCTGTGTTAATAATAATGATATAATAACTTTTATATATAGCATCTTTAAGAACAGCGTCCACAAGGTGCTTTGACAGTCAAAGCATGCAAACACTGAGACAGAAGGCACAAGAAGACAAGGCAGAGCAGTCAAATAAAATCCATCCATCCATTATCTATACACCGCTTAATCCTCACTAGGGGGCAAGGGCTGGAGCCTATCCCAGCTGACTCAGGGTGAAGGCAGAGACAGACAACCAAGCACACTCACATTCACACCTACGGACAATTTAGAATCACCAATTAACCTCAACATGTTTTCGGACCTTGTGGGAGGAAGCCAGAGAACCCCGACAGAACCCACGCTGGATGGGGAGAACATGCAAACTCCAGTCAAATAAAACAAATTATAGAAATGATGATTATAGGCCGTGTGATAGACTGGTGACCTGTCCGTGGTGTCCCCTGCCTTCGCCCTAAGTCAGCTGGGATAGACTCCAGCCCCCCCTGCGACCCTAGTAAAGATTAAGCGGTGTATAGATAATGTATGTATGTATGGATGGATGGATGATTATAGATTAAATTAATAATTAGCTAAAATAGGACGCATATCTAACAAAGGAACTAGGCTGTTTAAAAATTAAAGAATAAGACTGAAGATTAAAAGTTAAAAAATCAAATATTAAAGAATCAACAAGTTAAAAAAAAAATAAAAATCACATCAAAGAACTAGGCAGCTAAAATTAAAATAAAACAAGAGAGAACATATGAAATAAACAAGTAAGTAGTCCAGTAAGTCACCTGGAAATGATGCAATCTGGATATTTAGGAGAGAATCTGACTGCATTAGTCAAACTTAATGTTTACCTGTCATCACTTTGACCCCCAAGGGACACCAGGTATTTGTCATTGGGAGAGAAGTCGAGCGCCTCCACCTTAGCCTTGTGGTGCAGCAGCTCGGCGTAGACTGTTCGCTGCGCATAGTCCCAGATAATTACTGAAGCCTGGGGAAAATGTATATATTTATACTAAATGTTATAGGGAACACATCTAAAACATTATATAAAACTTTCTGTTTGTGGCTCACAATGTCAGCAGACGACCCAAAGTGAAGATGACTTGTGACTTGATCACATTAGAAACTTATGGAAAACATATCATAGCTACAACTACCTTAAACCCCATGAAGTTGACTTGTCCCGAGGCAATATATGATCCACTTTTGGACACTGAAATACAAGACACATTGTTTGTGTGTCCATGTAGGAACTCCTGCTTGCCATCCTCGATTTTCTTCAGTATGACTGTGCATCCCAGAGGATAGATCAGGTGTTCTCTGTCTGGATGGACTCTCAGGCCAGAAAACACATGACCTGATGAAAGACAAACAAACAAAAAAACATAGCCGTAATTAGACAAAATGCACAAAGATGAACCACAAAAATAGTCACAACCTCTGACTGTAGTCCAGCTAAGTGTATTTAAATAGTATGGGGTCTCTGGAGGGTTAGCAAAACTCCCTCAGCACCACTCGCAAAATATTTCAAAGAAAAAGTAGCTGGAAGATTTTAATTATCACGAAACTTATATGACATTAAATACAGCCATGAACAAAAATTATGTAACGGGTTTATCGTGCGCAAATTAGCTTACTCGTCAGATTTGTTGTCGTAAAGTTAGCAAAAGTTAGCAAAAAAAAAAAAACAACAACTTACCGTTAAACCCAAAAGCAGCCTCAAGTTTCAGTTGAGGTACGTCTTGTCCTCCAAGAGCCATGGTTTACAGCCAGTTCCTCTTTCACCTGAAAATGTTAAAATACTCCTACTTACACTAAAACTTGTCTCCAAAAGCAAACGGTGCCGGTATTCGGGTTTTTCTGACAGTTGCAGCTAACAACAAACGGTCACCTAGCAACAGCAGGGGTCCGCGCAGGGCGGCCATTGATGATTCTGTGATGCATTTAGGTGCTAACGGAAATTTCTCCTTTTGTTGTCCGTTTCAGTACAAATCGTACAACTACGAGCCCAAAACACATTTTTTTTTTTTACTGTGTCTGCGCTACACTACTTAATCTGTGACCTGTAGCATGACACCAGAAGCCTAAACAGTGAAAAACTAAAGTGAACCTTAGAGGAAACTCTCAATTTTTCAAGCACAAGCAACATTCAGCAGAATTCCTTGGGACATTAAACAGACATCATACACAATAATGGTGATATTTGTATACATTTAAAAAGAAAACATGTTTTAAAGTATACTGTATGAAATTACTATGAAGAGAATCACAGCAATGTTTCTGTTTATTGACTGTAAGCTCTGGTGTATAAGGATAGTATGACAAATAGAATAAATGCAACTACACCTTATGTCAATTTAAAATGCAACAGCAATAAAAAAAAAAACCCCTGAAAAGTATAAAAGGTCTTTATTTCAAGTTTACACAACTCACATCAGAAGAAAACTGCTACTGCACACTATAGTTCCAACCACTGCATTTACGCCTTGAATCGCTTACAGTCAGCTGTAAGCGCTGAAAACACGGGAGGTGTTCTGTGGTGACTGGTAATGCAGGCGACCTGAATAGAAGAACACTACAAGAGCTCCTAATCACTAAAGAAGAATGACAGTAATTTAAAGTGAATACAAAAACTGTCTGTTTTTTTGGCATTTGAGTCTTTGTGATGGGCAACTGGCTCACATTGGTAGTAACAAAATCCCTTCAGTATTATTTTTTCTTCCTTGCCATATTACATACAGAATCCAAAATGAGAAAATTACAAAACACATTCATTTCTTAGTTATTCATTTAAGAATTCAGCACATACTTTTGATTTTACACTCAAATAACCAAAGTGGATCTTGATGTTTGATCTGTTGATTTATGTGACTGGAAAGTTGGTGACTTTTATCACGCGATGGTACGAGCTGACTTATTGTAACGCCTTGCATCCATGACTCCTTGAAAAAGTTTACATCTGTTCACACGCACAAAATGTTCAAGCTCACGTCTGTAACATAAAATCTGCCACCGCTGCAGGGTATTTGCTGCAAGTTCAAAACACAAACAAGTCAGTAACTTTGTGGCCACAGAAATCAGACAAATTAAATATCAAAATCATATTTTGGTTTGATTTCCTATTTTTGACTTCAGCAAAAAAAAAGGAGAGACAAGCTGTTGGTGTTGTTTTTGGATTGGATTTTAAATTAATTATAAAATAAGATTCTTTTTGTTAAAATTTGGATTCTTAATTAAATATGAGAAGAGTGAATTATACACAGATTGGAATAAACTATGTGCCAATTTGTACTAATTTGGGTGCATAATAAACCACAATTTCAGCCAATTTAAAAAGGCAATTCTACTTTGCTTGTAACAAATTTATTGCTAAAAATCCAAATCTTAAAGGAAGATGTGACCAGAGCTAACCCACATCCAGAAGTGAGCTTAAACAGATATATTTTAGGCACAACATGAATTTTAACTGCCAACATATGCCAGTAAACACACGTGAAAGAAGGTTTACTCTCTGGGTTTGATAAATAACTATTCTTAGGGATAAAAATGGAGATAATCTGGTGCCCCATAATAAGAACTTCAAAGTGATACTTTACGGACAAATAAAAAAGCCAGCAGCAAGTTAAATCATCACAAAAGTTAAAAAGCTTCTTGTCAATGCAATACAAACAAGTAAATTCAATTTGTCAGTTCCTGACTCTCTGGAAACACTACTTGACAATGAATTGTGCTTTCTATAAAGATGTTCTGGCTATTTTCAGCTGCTGGGGTTTTCAGAGGGTCCTTCAAAACTTGACGTGTCTTTAGATGCGTCCATAGACATCTGTCTGTGTGAATGTGTTCTTCGATGTCTGCTGAGAGAATGGCTCCATGAAAACCGGCGACCGCAGACGAGGCACAGGTAGGGTCTCTCTCCCGTGTGTGTCCGCTGATGCTTCGTCAGTGACTTGTACCGTGTGAAAGTCGCCCCACATTCATTGCAAATGTACTTCTCTGACTTAATGTGAACATTTTGTTCATGTTCCTTCATGTTGCCCAGCTGTGAGAAGCCTTTACCGCACACAGGGCACAGATGTGGTTTCTCTCCCGAGTGGGTCAATCCGTGAATATTCAAATCCTGTCGAGAATAAAATCCTTTGCCGCAGATAATGCATTTGTATGGCCTTTCCCCTGTGTGGCTCCTCATGTGTCTTTTAAGCCCCTCTGAGCGGGAGAAGCAGCTCTCGCACAAGGTGCATCTAAAAGGTTTCTCTCCAGTATGGGAGCGAAAGTGCCGACGGAGCTCCGAGGCCTTGAAGAAGCACATTCCACAGTCTGCGCAGGAATGAGGTTTTTCTGGCTGCTCCTCGTGCGTTTTTTCGTGCGCTTTGCAGTGTCCTGACTCAGAAAATCCCTTTCCGCAGACCGAGCAGGTGAAAGGCCTCTCCCCGGTGTGCATCCGCTTGTGACGTACAAGTTTGTTAAGTTTACTGAACGTCTTCATGCAGTAGGAACACTGATGAGGCACCTTTGGTTTCTTCGAGTGTGTGCGTTTATGTCTCTCTAACTTTGAAGGCCTGTTGAACACTTTTCCACAGTCAGGACAGGGATGCTTGTTAGTCCTATTGTGGCAGTTCTGGTGTCGGAGCAGCTTCTCTTGCTGCGTGAAGCTCTTATCACAGTGCTTACACTGATGAACCGTCTTGGGCTTTCTCGTATGCACAGGTTTGTGCCTCTCCAGCTTCGACGGTCTGTCAAACACCTTGCCACAGACAGAGCAAGGGTAGCACTTGTCTGAGATGTTGCTTTCTGGTTGTTTGGAGTTCTCAGATTCAGTGGCAGTTGAAGCATCGTTGGAATCTGATTCTGAGACGAGCTTCACCACGACTGCTCCTGGACCTGGGGAACAAGCAAATTTAAATGACATAGACGTCTAAATAGACTAAAGATATCTTGTTGTTGAAGTACCGACTAAAGGGGAGAAAAAATGAACACAAACAACCATCAATACATACTTTCCTCTGAAGACTCTGCTTTAGGGACAGGCGCAGTGTCGGGGCCCATCGCTGCAGCCTGTTGACATACAACACGTAAAAAGACAGAGAGGAATAGGGACTTATTTCACATGATGGAGGGCAGTGATTCAGCATTACTGCTTTCAGAAACGGTAAGAAGTACTGATTGATATTTTTAAAATCTGAAAAGAATATATCCGGCAAAAGTAGGGACATGAATTATTAATCGTGGATTAAACGTTGCTAATAATTAATCAATCAACTTGTTCATTAAAGCGGTAGCATTATGAAGATGATTACTCTGAGTTGCTCTCTGGCAGCACTCCCAGCTAGTTCGTGCCAAAACAGTTTGTTGAAAAAAGGCCAAAGCGGAGAAAAGCATTGTAGCTCCCACCGCTGCTAATGTCTGGCACCAGCTGGACTCTAATTACACACTTACATCAAAAGCCAAACAAAAGTAATGAAGTGTACGAGCAACACTCCCCCCCCCCTGCTTTGAATAGAAACACTTTTTAGCGCTGTCAGTAAATACTGATAAAGTCAGTGTGACAGCCTTTGTGGACATTTGTTCCAGCTGAACAGCAGTTTCCAGCAGCTGGACTAACAGTGAGCTGGGCACAACCCAGTCCAATTAAGTGCATATTAATGGGAGGGATCAGCTAGATGGGCTTTGCAAGATATTTTATGTAAAAATCACTGGCTGATACCTCAAGTTAAAAATCAAGGAATTTGTTTTGTGTCTTTGTCTGTTCTGTTCTGCGAATTCCTGATGTAAGAGAATCTGCTTTGGAACATAAGCGTCAATATAAATATATATATATTTTTTAAAAAGATGATGATGTTGCAAGATGGAGCTGCAAGGTGGATCAGCGGTTAACATCGTTGCCTCGCGTCCCGGTGAGGACACCCGGGATCTTTCTACATGGAGTTTGCAGCGTGGGTTCTCCGGCTTCCTCCCACAAGGTCCAAAAACATGTTGAGGTTAATTGGTGATTCTAAATTGTCAGTAGGTGTGAATGTGAGTGTGCTTGGTTGTCTGTCTCTAAGTGTAGCCCTGTGATAGACTGGCCCTTTCAAGGATTAGGCGGTGTATAGATAATGGATGGATGGATAGATGTTGCAAGATCACCTCTGCAATAATTTACAATCTCATCCGTCAACATATACACGAATAATGACATATCTAATATCAACCAACATGCTGCCTCAGTGACATCCAGTTGCATGTGTGTCATAGTCACGCAACATCACATTTCACATGTGAGAGATCACTTAGTGGATCACATTTCTGCTTAAATGAGCTGGAGTCATGATGCAAATGTGTGAAATACATGAAAATAACACAACCAAACAGAGAGAGAGAGAGAGAGAGCATGTTTACAAGGTGCTGTTACATCCCAGCATGTTTGGTAAGGCTGGGTTAACTCGTATTTAATCACTCACACTAAACTTTAGGTACCCAATGTGGTTGGTTGGATAAGCAGCAGCTGTGGTATCACCCTGCTGCCCTATGTGGAAGTTTTTTCTGTTGATTATTAACATTCAGTCCCGTGGCATCTCTCTGAGCACTGGGTGGCCAGTTTGAACAGAAGCAGGATTAAGTAGTCAATATTTCTAAGCTGCATCCCCTAATTGAAATCAACCACATGATCCATCAGACTGTTGTTTATTTTACAATGCCTACTTTGGGGGGAGTCGAACTGCACGTAAAGAAACTTATTTGGCAAGAGGAAGATGAAGGAAATGCCAAACCAAACACACGTAGAAAAAGCACCTATGTATATAACACCTGAGCGACCACAGTGGGCTGCATCTGGAAGCGGACAGCGGTGGGTGCAGATTCAGAAAGCTCACATGTTGTTTTTGTATGTATGTACGAGCTACACGTTTGTAAGGAAACTGTGCCGGAATGTTAATGAACTCAGTTTAACGTGGCACCGTCTGAAAAACAGAAGAAAACACAGACTGTCCTAAGATGAAATCAGTGTTTACCTGGGACACACATGCAGCCAAAGAGCTACAGCTACACAACGTTTGCTAGCCACTTTCGCTAAAGCTAACATGTTAGCTAACTTCACCGTACAAGACTCAGTAGGGCAAATAAGATTCAGTCCCACCTGTCTAATAATCCTGAAAAGACAACGTTCTCACATCTTCTGTCCGTGAGGCGTAAAGTTTTTTACCGTACTTCACATTTTTAGTGTCGCTAGTCGCTGCAACTTGCTAAACAAGCTAAAGCAATTTGGGGTTGATGCTCGTCCCCTTCTGTGATACCTTCAAATGCACCGCGGAAGTTTAGTACCTGTGGTTAGACGGGGGAAAAAAATATTATTCGTAGTTGTTTAATTCTATCATTAATGCGGTGCAGACGTGCTTTGTGGTACGGTATTAATTATGAGGAGAACGTGTGCATTTTCTATGCGTCGAGCAACTTAAATGACTCAAGGTACAGCAGACACTTACACTACATGCAATAGTTCCAACAGCACAGAAACGCAGCACAGGTTTCCTAACCTGCAGGGATCATATAGTTTGTCCTGCAGGGACACACTAATGTGAAGTTTTTGTAAGTTATTCTAAATATGTAGAAAGACCCCATTGCTCGAGCTAATGCAATTGCACAAATACTTCCTGATTTGGTTAAATTTGCGAGTGTATCTAGTGACACCTTCTTTATAAAAGCCATTAAAGGCTATAAAAAATGTTTTAAAATCTGTCTTGCTTTGTGCACACACACATGTGTTGACAGTTTCCAGATTTCAGAGAGAGCTCAGAAACTCATGTTTATATTTTCAATCAGAAACTTATTTGCTTTTGTCTTTATTACAAAAACAAGACAATAATGTTTACAATAATAAGTTATGAGACATTAAGAAGACAAACAAATGATTGTGATAAAAAGTACATTCATTTTAGTTTTGCAATCAATTAAATGCAACTACCTTGCAAAACAATAATAATAATAAAAAATAAGCTGTTAGACTTAGTATACATTCTCTACAGGTACTGTTGTGCTGCTCTGCTGTGTGGGGACAGGAGATGCATTATGCTTTATAAAATAGGTTGACTTTCTGGGAGGTAAAACCAGATGGAGTTGTAATATTTCTCTTACAGTGTGGTCACAATTGGCCCAGATGGTATTGGTTATTCCTTCTGTGATAAGATGATTGGATTGTTGTTTGTTGTGTGTCTTTGTGTACCCTGAGATAGGAACCATTGTTTATGTGGACGGTGAAGTCCAGTAGGACATAATAAATGATTTAAGCTTCTACACATACATTTGGCTTGACAAATCAAGTAAAATCTCACTCAGTTGCATTACAATATTTGTATAAATTTGCATTTCACAAAATAAATATCTGAACGCTATGAAAAAAAAACACAATTTCACTTAAATAGCATCAACAAAAACTGCTTCGGCGCAAAAGTCACCAGACCGCTCTCATTACTTTACTGAGAGGGAAAACAGTGAGAAAAGGAAATAGAGTTCTGAATGCCCCATACTTCCAGGGACTGGATCTTGAAATGTCCCTTGCACAGTGGGATGCTCTTGAATGTGTCACAGAGCTCGGTGTATCCTCCCTCGAGATCGTCCTGCAGGCAGAGAGCGTGGCCCCCATCCCCACCTGAAAGACAACACAGAAGCTGCATCAGCACTGCATGCTGTTCAGAGTTCCCCTGTCAGCTTGTACTGCTGTTTACTTCACAGTTCTTCTTTTCTATCCCTCTAACAACATGTTTAAGTGACGTTACCGATAACGAGCCGACTGTCGTCGCCTGCTATGAACATGGAGGCCTCTTGCTCTTTAGGTCTCTTGGGCTCTTTGGCGGTCATGGGTTCCCCTGACGGTGCAGTGAAGGGGATTGTCAGGTAGCTGGGGTTCTGTGGGGTCCCGGCGGGGCAGGTCAGGGTTGCTGCGGAGGTGACGCTGGCGTGAATCTGCTGAGAAGAAGCTCTTCGGGTCATTATGTTGACCATGGCCTGCTGGTAACGCTCCATGCTGGGACGGAGCTGGAAGAGTGATCACAGTTCTTGTTTGACACAGAACCCACAGGCAGCAGACCTGAATAGAACACACCAAAGTCAAACTGGAAAAGGGAGAAAGCAGTGATGTGTCTCACCGTGAAAACGAAACACTCCCCAGTTCCGAAATATGCAAGTCCCTGGGAGTCGTGTTTTCGCCTTTCTATCACATCTGTCGATAGGAAGGCACCAAACACCTGGGAAATGAAAAATAAGATTTCAGTGGCATACAAAGCATATTCCTTCAACTAATTGTCATTCTTTTAAGCATTAATAATATGTTTAATTGTAAAATGAAATCAAAAAGAAAAGCACACATGAGGAAAGGATCTAATTAACCTTCGTATTCAGTATATTATGTAAAGTTACCTCTTCATCCACCGTTTTGATAATTAACACCGCTGGTTCGTGTCCTTCCACATGTGAATAGAATCTATGTGAAATAAAATATATATATATATATTTAGTTTTAATGCTAGAAAAGACTTCAGCTTTAAAACTTCCATGTCAGAAGTTGTTGCTTATTTTATTCGGGGAAGTCGGGATGTGTGCCACTGCTGACGTGACCTGACTTTCACCCTCCATATAAACATGTTGATGGTGAAAACACACTGCCTGCTGACTGTAACCGTTACATAACAAGACCTGAGAACGTGTTTTTCACTGCGGGAACACAGTCTTCAGCAGATATTAATCCATAAAACATTTATTTATACAAGTATGAATAGACTAAGCGAAAGCCAGTGCTATACGATATTAACAGCTCCAGACGTTATTCATGTCTGTGAAGTAGCAGCTCATTAATTCTATTTTTTTTTTCCAGTAGTTTCTCATTGGGATTGGAATCACAAAGGTTACTCACGAAGCGAGACTTCTTCCGTGTTCAGCTGCACTGAACAACCTGATGGGACTGAAGAGGGCGAAACGCTCAGGTATCCAGGCCCAGACCACTCTCATTTCAGTCCCTGTTACAACGCTGGAGCTGAAGTTGCCAAAGTCCACCGTCTCGACCGACTGCCTTTATGGAACATTAAAAATAGCAATGATATGTTAAAACTGGAATTGAATAAATTGAAATTTGCAGATTTAAAACTACACAAAGCCAGTCTTTATTTAGAAGTTTTAAAAAAATCTTCAACTGCATCAATACAAACATGCGACTCATGTTAGGATCATATGTGTTATATTAATGTTTTGATAATCTCTTATTATACTAAACGCACATTATTTCATATTTTGATAATTTGGTGTTACTCTCCTCACTTTTTATTATTATCTTAATCTCACATTATTATCTTAAGGCATAATCAACACAATTGATAAACCAATGCAGCATGAGAAAGTGTAAGTGGAGACAGGATTTGGTGGTTTGTGTGTTTCTCTGTCACAAGCAGGTATCTGCAGGAGGGAGAAACTGAGGGTTCAGGGTGGCAAGTTTCTGCACCTACGAGATGGTGAAAGAAGACTCAAGGACATGGAGGGGCCAATCAGGTGGCTGCAACACATTCTGTACACATTCTCATGTAATAGTATAAGTACACCGGATCAGGGAGAGGCAGTCAGTCAGACTTCGTGCCCTGACATTAACTTTGTTGGTGCTCAGGTGAGAAGTTTGATCCAGAGCTCTGTATGCTTATTCAACTATCCGATAAATAAATACATTGAGTGAGACCTAAATATCTTCTCCTATTGCTTCATTATGCGTAGGAGCTATCTCACACATAGTTTAATTTCTGGTAGATTGAGATTCAGCTCCAACACTCATTGGCTGATTTATGACAACGTTAGCTTTAACCCACCTCTTCTGGTGCGTGCTGACACCTTTCTGCATGAGCGAGTCCTTATTGGCGTTGAACAAGAGGTTGAGCTCTCTCCGCGTCGCCATCGGGATCATGAACGCTCTCTCCAGAAGCTTCTCAACGGTGCAGTGGCGAGCCACGTTCTGCACAAAACTCTTCATGTCAGTTCTAAAATCCTCCACGTCTGCCACTCGGGATGAAACGGACACTTTGTAGAGGTTGAGCAAAGCCAGTGCCACCCTGAAAAGAATAATTGCATATTAACTCCTGAAATATTGGTTATGCCATTTTGTTTACATGTGAAAATGCAGCAGCAAACACACCTATAGAGGACCTTGTAGCCTTCCAGTAGGTAGACGTCCAAAACTCTGATGGCGTACGTGAACGGAAGGTCAGCGAATATCCACATGATCCAGTCGGAGTAAAACTCGAAAAGGTTCTGGTGAGAGCTGGCGATCAGCTTACGGATGCCTCTGCAGCACTTGTTGGCAAGGTCGCCAAAGGTCATGCAGGAGGCGCGGTAGGTGAGGAAGGTCTGGTCAGTGTAACGCTTGTTGGGGTCGTCGTAGCTGATGAGTCGGGACACGCTGAAGAAACACTCAGCTTCATCCTCGCTGAAGTGAAGGATGAGCGAGACCAGAGCAGGCAGGATGGGGCAGAAGTTCATGTCTGGGAAGTGTTTGCCGAGGCAGAGGAGGATCTTTTTAACAGAATTTAGGCCTGCTTTGTTGAGACAGTATCTGGATAACAAAAAAAAGAGCAAGAAAGGATTGGTTATATTCCACTCCAGCTCTAAAATGCATATGTTTGATTGCGATCACAAATCAGGAGCATGTGATGGTCAAACTCACCACATACTGTAACACAGCTTGTTTTTATTTATTTCATTTGTAGGAAAGCAGAATCCCTCTGATCCAATATCCCATAAACATACCTGGGTATTTCTCCAGCCTCCATGTACTCTGGTACTGGGTGATTGCTGAGTTTCTGTTCTCCAAATAGGTTCTTGGCCAGTTCATAGTAGAGATCTCGGTCTGCAGTGACAGTCCTGCAGCAGACACAACATCAGTTTACAGTCAGATCGGTTAAAATGTGCATAGCTGTTATGTCAATCACCTTAAAAAAAAAAGCATTTGAATGTGTGATATTTAATGCTAAAGTCCTAACCTGGAGTTGAGGCTGTGGATGATGTGGTAATAAGCCTTGGCCCTCAGTGTGTGCGGCGAGGCCCAGAACCCTTCTCGGCCCATACGCTTCAGCTTCTGGTGCTCACTCATCAGGATCTGCTGGTATCTTTTTGCGGATTCAGGATCGATCTTCTCCCAGTCCACAAACTGTCCGTACTTCATGCCGGAGCTGGAACAAATCTCCCAGTTGTCCGACTCAGAGATGGTCATCATGGAAACGGACTTGAGATTGCCTTTACTGCCTGAGCAAGACATGCACACAGACCTTTAATCTTTCACTTCCTGAACAATATAAGCAGACTTCACAAATTCTTTTTGTTTTGGTGGCAGAATCTACATTCTACTGTAAAATATTTTTTTCCTACCGTTATGGTCTCTAGAGGATGAAATCTTGTTCGCTTTAGACTTAGACTTCTTAGGGGTTACTCGAACAGTGGACCCTTCTTCTTCCTTTTTTGCTGCTTGCTCCTTGACTTGCGAGGAGGGTGTCTTCTGCCTCAGCGGACCGGACCTCGTAAAGCTTCCCACGTCATACTCAGTGTACAGTTCTGATGTCTCATAACTGTAGAATGACCTACAGAGCATTTGATTTAATATTTATTATGCAGTCAGTCATTTTTTAAATGATGATTGCAAGTGAGCAAACATTTTTTCATAATTTTTTTTTTAAAACAGCACAAGCTTCTAAGTTAAATATGAAAACACACCTGGAGCGAGGTCTTCGATAGCTTTCCTCCTTCTGTATCTCCACACCATAGTTCTTAACGTCCTCTCGGTTGTAGTAGGAGTGAGACCTTTGCCTTCCACCTCTCGCCATTGAGCTCAGGTCTTGATCAGAGTGTAAGACTGAATTAATGTTTCCACAATTGGAGAACTCCGGTGTTCGTGAAACGTCAATCATCTGCCACTCGTCAATCATTCTTTGAAGAAATAAACGTTGAAAGGCAGCGTGGCTCCTGTTACTAGCTGCCCGTTCTGAGCATCGGGGCTCTTTATAGGGCTGTGGGCTGTGGTCATGTGAGTTGAGCGTGCTTTGTTTATGGTGACTCAGGCACTGAAAGTGAAAAGTTCCACGGATTTTACTGTTGTAACTTTGGCAACATGCAGTGTCTCGTTCTTAGAAGTCATCAGTCTCCAGACAGCAGAGCCACCATAAACACAACCAACAAACAAGGCTGCAAAATTTCCAGGTCATGTAACAAAAAACAACTTTTAATGATCAGAAGTCCTTAAATAGGTCTCGCTTCAATGCAGATATGTAACTGTTATGTCACCTACATTCACTCACTTTCCACAACTGATTGTTCATTATGTGACCAGTTAACATCTCGCCCAAATGCTCTTACTGACATGAAATCAGTGCTCAGAATGTAAATCTTTGGAAACGGGAAGGTAATCCTGTGGTCGACTTTGCCTTTTCTCTGAAATTGCATGAAAATGCCAAAGAACTCAATTCCGAGAAATCTTCCAAAGACTATTATTTTACACAACATACGCATGTTTTCATCTAAACACAACCATTGTTTGGTTATGAAACATAAAACCACCGCAAGTACTTATCCCATATGTGGGCACCACATGTAATGCAGTTGAAAAACAAACTCTTAAGCTATACTGACTGAAGGCAGTGCGCTGTTATTCCATCATGTCAGTTTCCATGAAGGCTGTGGCACTTCCAAATTCGATCTTATACGTAAGAAGACATAAGCAATGAAAGTAGTTCAAACACATCAGTCGGACTCAATATTATCTAATCTATGAAGGCTCGTATTGTGATAAGTCTGCCTGACAAACTGCTGTGTTCTTATAATCTGTGTATCCTCTCATGCTGCTCAGGGACTTCTAATAAAATCCACTAAAGCTGTTTACATGATGTCACTTTATGTTACTGCTCTCTCCTATATGACGACCAAAGAAGCACCTCCCTCATCATGAGAAACACGTTCCCCACGTCGGGTTGTGTTGACTGATACCACGGTACAAACAAGACCGTCCTTGTAAAGACTGAGTTGGCGTCTTTGCAGAAAATGACTAAGAGTTTTATCATGTCTGTGACAGAGCAGATGGACTTGGATGTGCATGTGGGTTGTTTTTGTCAAGGATAAGTCGAGAAAGTTGAAGTACTGAAACTGACAAGAGGATTCATTGTGTTTATTACTTGCGTAAGGCACCAAACTGTATTATGTCACACAATTATTGCTGTTGTCAAGATTGTTTTGATCTTTGGACATTTTTTAAATGCACAGAGCTTATTAGCCCTGTTAATAATATAGTAATATCATAGTATAAACAACAATAAAGTCACAACAGTGATTGAACCGAGGTGTTTTCTAATAGAAAAATAAGACAGACATTGCAAATTGACCGAACAAGACCTTACAGTAGTATTTATGATATGAATTTACAGGAGTAAGTTAAATATATTATGGCTAAAACCCAACAAAATTCAATAAACTACAAATTTACCTCACTTAGTTAAATAGTAAGGTTAAGATCCCACAATATTAATAAATGTGGAAACTTGACCAGACAAATATAAACAATTATACATGTAAAAACTTGACTAATCCAAAGATCACTCGAGAGCTCTAGCAGAACCAGGCCCATTAGGAAAGGGTCACAGGAAGACAACAGACAACAACAAAACATATAAACAAAGAAACCACCAACACAATATAAAGTCATATACATTTTATGAGAAAAAACACTGTCATTAATCATAATTTGTGTGGCTCTACCTGCATAAAAAAACTCATTTTCAGCAGCTCTTTCTCTGTTTTTAACGCAGGGCAGAAAAGCGAAGCCTCGGGGTAAATTGGTCTGCGCCGTGTGCCGTAGTGACGTCACACCCAAAACAAGAAACGGTCTGCCAGTGATTACTGCCGGATGGTTCAAAAATAAGTGGGATCTCGCTTCATAGCTGACTTTTATCAAAATGTCTCAGGATCCCTGGTGAGTAATACTTTAGAAGGGTAGAATAAATTGACTCGGGTGTTTTCTTAACGGCAACAAATATCGTTTCTACGCCGGACTGCTGCTCTGTACTCAGCTAGCTAAAGCGGCTAGCGGTTCTCTATGAGGATTAGCTAAACACAACAACAGCAAGTATTTACTCAATGATCTCATTTTGTCAAGGCAAAGGACAGTCGCTTTTAGGCATTATCCTTGCATCTACTTCAGAGAATCTTTGTTACATTAGGAGAGTCAGAAGAGGGAAAAGGTAATGTTTAACATGTCACATGATGAACAGTGTCTCTGCTCAGTTTCTGTTTTGCCCAACTAAGCTAAAATATGTTGACGCAAACGCTTCACAATATCATACATTAACGCTGCATTCCTTACCAATATAGACCAGGGAAGGCTTTAGGTGGCCTTGACAGTTAATGTTGTATTCACACCATCTGTAGTTACAGTATTTGCTCAACTCCAGCATCAGTAATGAGACATCAATACTCCTCTTCCTGTGTGAATAATAGCATTATTAAACACACAGTGACTCTGCAAACGTACTGAACGTATCTGTACCATATATATAAAACATTATTATCTATAACCAGGCACTTATGGCACTTTACTCTTTCTACCTGCCTTGTTTCTTTTATGCTGTTTTATGTTGTTTATTTATTTATTGTCGTGTGGTTTTTATGATTGTGATGTGGGATTGATTGTGTTTGATGGAGGATGTTTTCATGATTTTAATACCATCCATCCATCCATCATCTATACACTGTTTAATCCTCACTAGAGTCATGGGGGGCTGGAGTCTATCCCAGCTGACTCAGGGTGAAGGCAGGGGACACCCTGGACAGGTCACCAGTCTATCACAGGGCTACACTTAGAGACAGACAACCAAGCACACTCACATTCACACCTATGGACAATTTAGAATCACCAATTAACCTCAACATGCTTTTGGACCGTGTGGGAGGAAGCCGGAGAACCCGGAGAGATCACATGCAAACTCAACGCAGAAACTGGGGTGCGAACCGGCAACCTTCTAGCTGTGAGGCGACGGTGCTAACCACAGAGCCAGATTTTAATACCACTGATGGGAATACAATGACACTAAAGGCACTGTATTTTATCTTTATTGATGTAGCTAGTTAAACTCAATAGGATTAAGTCTGTTGGGTTTGTTTTATCATACGATTGTTGCATGTTTAAAGTCTGCACAGTATCACCGAACAGCTCAGTCTTGTCGTTACTCTGGTACAACAATAAAATGCTCTGAACCTTATTCTACTGATTTGTCTGAGCTTGCATTTCAGTAACAAAAGGTCCATTTCCGTTTTTATCCCATTCGTTGATCTACAGGTTACAGAATTATGATGCCACTTGTCGACTGGCCCAGGAAATAGCAGAAAACATCCATGAACGGAACAGGCAGCAGAGGACAGGGGGGAACCCTGCAAAGGTAACGTGATATATATTCTGTGTTACATCTATGAATAAAGTTATATTGCTGAGAAATGTCTCCTGTAATAATCAGGTTTTTTTTGTCCATATCTTCCGTCTTCTCAGATAAACATGACACTGCGGGCGTCACTTCAGAAGCTGAAACAGAATATTGCCCAGCTTAAAGAGAGTTTGTTGCGAGCTTCCTCATCTCGACGCATGTATCCTTTTCTTCCGATAATGTTCCAAGCAGTGGATGTCATGAGACTCGGATTACATTTAGAGCTGAAGCCTTTTTCTTTGCTTGCATTAACAGCAATGTTCCTATAGAGGGCATGAGAGTGTTTTGAAAAGGATCGTCCTGACTGGTGCGCTGTGACCAAGTGTGTTCGTGGATAAACTCTGATCCAAGTTTGAAATACATCACACGTCTGTTGAAGGCGGTTAAAGTAATGCAGACTTTGTGCACCTTTCGACCTTATCGTTCCCTCATCAGAATGCAGTCAGAATGTGACAGGAGGCAGAACCTCATTGACGACCTGCTAACCAGAGAGAAGCAGCTCAATGCCACTTTCAAGGGAGACATCACAGAGCCTGAACCCTCCAGGTATTAACGTAGAGGCAAATTAGTTTACCCTGAATGTCTTAGAGCTCATTAAGCATTCTCAATTGTTACGGGTGGGATCACACAAGGACAATTTTTTTTTAAACAATTGGACCACGAGGGCCCACTTACAGATCGGGTGTAGCATATCTATGATCAGTGTGGTGCTTCTTCTAAATTCATACTAGTAGTTCACTCATTTGCCTTCCTTGTGCCTCCAGTGGAATATATCCGCCCTGAACTTCTATCTGTCACTCTCAGTCAGTGTCAGAAGGGCCGAGCGAAGCATCACCACATGATGCTTTAGGGGGCATCCTACTCAGAACATGCCACCTTTCATTTTGTGATTTCCATCTTTGACGTCTTTTTTTTTTCTTTCTTTCTTTCTTTCTTTCTTTTTTAATAATTTCTTGCTCTGGCTGTCCAATTAAAAATAATGAATCCTCATTCTCTTGTCTATGTTCTTAACCAGAGAGGTCATAGGCGATTCTCTGCTTTGATGATATGTCACCGGTCACTAACTTTAGGTGAAAGTCTTTGTACATCCGGTATGACCCATGTCCTGTGACCTCTGCCTGTGCTATCACTCGGAAGGAAGTCCGCCTGTCTGCCATTTTGACAGGGCGCTTAACTTCATGGCTAATTCTTTTTCATTAAGAGATTTGCTCGCTTTGCGCTGATGATCACACATTTGGCACCCTCTGAGACACACACACACATTCAGATGAATGTGCGGGTGATGAACAAAGATGAAAGGAGTGAGTTTACAGTTTATTGCTCTCCACTGAACATATATTGTACGACTTGTGGAGCTCATCAAGGAGCTGGATACCACTACTGATTTCTTCCTCATCAGCACCATGACAGCTTTGAAAATCTTAGGTAGCAGGTAGTCATTACTATGTGTAAGATTGTTGCCCAGATGATATTTGTTTGGACAGAAAGAGGAAATGGTGTCATGTTGGTTAAATCCTCTGGCTTCTCATGTCTGTTTCATTACTGAGGGTTTTTAGTTGGCGCCTCCGTGTTGTTTTCACATCGTAGAGGCACCGAATACATGGAACAAATCTTGTACAAGTACAGAATGTCTACTTTGTAATCGTCGATGTTTTCAGGGAGTTACTGAAATGACAGCAGAGTGAAACCAAGCAGTCGATCAGTAAGATTTAGAGAACCACTTTTGCTCATGCCTTGATATGAGTCTGCCTCTCTCTGATATCTTTCACAAGCTTTGGTTTTGGGATTGATCTACTTAGTGGTGCTTTGCACAGGCTTTCATCTTTTTTTACAGACCACACACCCATTTACATAAAAGGCTCTGTAAAAAAAAAAAAAAATCTCAAATGACATTTTCTAATAAATTAGCTTGGCAAACTGTAATCATGTGGTCATATGGTTTTTAGTTTGCTCAGTGAGACCTAAATTTAATAGTGATATGTGGTGGGTAATTTGGATTTGTGGGTAGGACCCATTCCCACTGTGTGGTCTCTGAGGACAGAATGTGGGAGGGGGTGGATTGGCCATGCTTGGATAATCTAAGCTGCTTTTTAAAAACTTTTTTTGTGAGAACTTTAGGTAGAAGAGAAGTGATGGAGGTTGTCGAGGGGACTTTAATCTATCCCTAAGACAGTATGTTCTGAGCATCTCCATTTCATATTGAGCGAAATACAGACTTGGGGTGTATTTGTGAAGGCTCAGCTCACCCACTCACCTTTTCTCCATTATTCTCTAACTTTTCCTTTGTGTTTGATCGCACTGGAAGTAGTTGTAATTAGTTAAATCTCGCCTGTCCAAGTCACTCAGTCAGGACCTGGATGCTCAGGCCCCAGTGGTGGCAGTCTAGTACTTTGTGGCTGCCAAGAGATGTGCCTCACTGATTTTGGCGCTCCCCGCTGACTGGTTAATTGGATCTTCACACAATGGGCACTTGCATGGAGGAAGTGGAGGGCTGGCACATAGTCTCATAGTAATCAAACATGTTAGAGAGATTAGACTGAATGCTTTGTCTCACCCACTCCTCTGATGGTATCAGCCTCAGCCCGCCTGCATTGTGAACAGTCTCACAGTGCTTTACTTCAGAAGTAGCTTGAAGCAGTCATCGCACTGTGAGATTTATGAGTGGCGGTGAGGTATACGCACATCAGTACCTCAGCAAATATATATATATATAGTTTGGTACGGCAGAATTATTATTTCCTGTCGCTGATAAGCCTGCATGTGGTTCAGGTCACTTTTTTGGGGCTTGACCAGCAGACGGTTCGCTCTCAGCAGACACAATTAAATCCAGCCTCACACAGAGACCCTGAACTCGTCACCGCAAGACAGCCGTGGCTGGTGGGGGTCTGAGGCACAGCTTTAAGCCATTAAGAGAAGAATAGCTTTTAAACCACATAGTGGTGTTTAGCACAGCACATTACAGCGCAGAGAGCTTTCTGGTCTGTCACTTTGTCAGAGTAAACCCTCCACTGCAGTCCACAGTCCTGTGACAGATGAACATGCAGTAGTTATGTGTTGCACAAACCTGGTGTTTTTCAGTCACTCATAAAACATCCTAAAAGACAAATGATTAAATTAACACGTTTTTCTTTAATTTGGAGGGTTTGGATGTCATACATGAACAGTGAACAAGCCTTCTACAGGTGTTTGCTGTGCATTGCACTCATTTCCTGTATTGAGTGTGTCACTTGTGCACGATGAGTGTTGTTTCAGGTTTGTGTACTAGAGTGGTGATTGACTGACAAAAGAGTACATGGTAATCTACTGAGAGTTTTTCACTTGTAGTGCCCCTTTGGGGGATTCATCTTTAATACTTCAGCTGATGCTGCTCTACATTTGGATTGCGGTAACAGTAACATCATCTCCAATAAAAGCTGAGTTGTTTTGACAGGCTGTTTATTTTTTATTTTTTGGAGGGAGGCTGTGAAACACTTTGGAATTTAAGTTTTGCTATGATTGTGGGTCACAGGTCCACGCTGATGGCCGGAGGGGCAGGAGCCAGTGGAGGCAATGCAGCCAACCCTTGGCTGATCAACGAATCAGAGGAGACCAAAGGGCTGTCGTTTGGAGAGATCAAACAGCAGCAGCAACGAATCATTGAGGGTAAGTACACTAGATTGTAGAACAACAACATAAGTCAGTCATTTTGGGATCTAGCAAACATGCTTTCAAGTATGATGTTAAGTTTCTCTTCATAACATGAGCTTCACACCGAATATGAGTGTAGTACCCAATAGTAGTACTTAGATACAAGATGTTGCATCACTGTTCCAGTAAGAAGTAATGAAATAAAGGCACGATTAATCAGTAACAAGAGGATTCGAGACACAGCCTGATTTGTATTAAAGTAATAGTGGCTGAAGTGATCTACGCTAACACAAAAAAGGTGATCGTGATTCACGTCTTGTAAGCCCACACCTGTTTTTTTCTATTTCCTGGCTCTGACATGACTTGAACACCCAGACATTAGTTCACCTGACTCCATGTGACACTTCATTGCAATGTCTCCATTACCGCTCTGGTTATTGTCAGTTTGGGGACGGGGATTCCTGTTAAGACAGTGAAACCAAACCACATGGAGCTTTCTAGTTCCCTGTGGGATTTCTGGTGAACTTGGGTAATGGTGAGCGACTCAACTTGTGGT